ATTTTCCATCAAACAACTCTCATTTGAGTGAATGAGTCATTCATTCACTCCATTATTTATTCAACATGCAAATGCTGGCACAGGACATAGTTGGTGACACAATCTGCTTGCTCAGTCACACCTGACACTGCTCCTTGCTCAGGGTCCCTGACTCCTTGATGAGGCAGCACATGCAATGCCACCTCTTCACAGCAGCTTTCTCTGACCTTGGTCTCCTTCTTTCCTTACTTGTGACTTCCTGGTGATTTGAGTACTCGTGTGTGTGGAAATTGTGCACAGTTTCCTGTCCTCAATTTCTGCAGCCTTTGAATGCTTTTAGCCCTGCTTACCCAGACACCAAGAACAGGTACCATTTTCAACTGTAAAGACAGGTTTTGTTCTTGAGCTCAACTATTACAATATTTTTCTTGTAATTTTTATTTCATTACTTATAAAGGATCTAGGAACTCTGGAGACATTATAAATTGCTTTGTACTTATGCTAATTAGTAATATGAAGGTCAGGTTATTTTCCAATATATGCAAGTGAATTAAAATGTTTCTTCTGAAAAAAGTAAACATGACAATAGTAAAGGTCTGATTTTTAAGTTACACGATGAGCTTTTCACTTAGTGATGAAATGTATGTGGATTCATCTGAAGATGAAAAGCTGTATTTCTTCTCAATTGTTGCTTTAACAAATTGCTGCCTACTTGGTATATAAATGAATAGTTCTAAATGACATATTTATTATCTTACAGTCTTGTGTATAAGTTCTGAATGGGTCTATAATCCGGGTAGTTGGCAGAACTGCACTCCTCTAAGGAAAGTCTGGAGCAGAAACATTGCCTTCTGCTCCTGATTGCCTGTTTCTTTGGCTCCTCCTTCTTCTGAGCTGGCAAACTTAGGCCAAGTCCTTCTTTGACTGACATCTCTTAATCCGTCACTCTAATTTCTTTTTTGTTGTTGTTGTTGTTTTTTTGTTTGTTTGTTTTTCTACAGTACCGGGAATCGAACTCATGACCTTGCTCTTGCCAGGCAGGCGCTGTGTCACTGAGCTAAATCCCCAGCCCTGCTGTCATGCTAATTTCATCTTGCATTTTAAAAGGCATCCATAATTACATGTGACCTACTGGACTAATCCAAGCTAATCTTCCCATGCTAAGGTCAGTTCATTAACAATGTTAATTACATCTATAACCTTCATTCTCCTTTGCCACAGGTTATAGAATATTCATAGATTTTTAAGGATTAGAACACATGCAGCTGTGGGAGGGCATTATTTCACCTATCATAAGTACATAAAATTAAAATGTGATGAAATGAAGTGAACTTTAAATTCCAGGTTTGAATTATTGATGAAATGGCATTTTGAAATTTCTTTCCAGTTATTCTGTGTAATATAAATCACAAAAGTGTATATTCATCATCGTTTTGTACCAAAATGATTATACATAGCATTGATACTGGGTGGTGACAGTTTTAGCAGGACTATTTAGGTCCTCAAAAATGCCCGTGGGGGCTAGCTAAAAGGTTATTGAAGAGTGTTATGGTTGATACATTGTGTCAACTTGGGGAGTCCAGAGGTTTGGCTAAGTGACTCAGCAGGAAGCCAGGTGCTTACTTTGTATACATACTGAGCTTGTGGGAGCCAGGGCACGGAGATTACTTGAGTGTTACACTCTCCCTGGGTAAGGGTAGCCTGTTTACAATCTAAGGACTGGAAAGAGGCTGCTTGCCTCGGTTCCTCCCATTTGCTCTGGCTGCTTTGCTGTTCGACTGCCATTTCCCCCTTTGCTCTTGTTGCTTTGGTGTCTTCTGCCTCGGAGCCAACCAAGTATGCACTGAAACCTCCATAAACGGTAAGCTAGATAAACCTTTCCTTCCTTAATTTTGGGCGTTGAGTATTTTGTCTCAGCAACCAGAGAAAAGTAACCAAGACAAAGAGAAAATTATAGCGATTTCTACTTTCTAGATTAGATCTTAAAGACATCACAGATTCACCCAGTGCTGAATGAATAGCTCAGTGGAAGATGCCTACTTGTGTATAATGGAAGAAGATGTAATGTAATAATTTTTCATACATTACAGAGAAATAACTCTTATTTTTCCTCTTGTAATTCTAAAGTCCATTACTTCATTATTCACTTCATCATAGACTATTCTGAGCAAATTTTTTTTTAGCTCTGGGATTTTACGTTTTCCTTTTCTCACTTATGTACTATATTGTAAACACAAGTATTTTTAGTAAGAATTGATTACAAAAAAGGATATGAAACTAGAATACAGTTAAAGACAGACAAAAGAACAAACAGGTAAGTTGTAATAGAGCAATGTCCTAATAAATATGTGGCTCTTCCAGCAGTTAAAACAAGGTAAGATGAAGACGTTGTCTGTTTTCGCATGTCTAGTGGTGATAACATCACAAAGATGAGGCACCTGGGGCAGTCTGGCTCTCCTTCCATGAGGATTAATCCTGAAATCGCAGCTACATTGGATTATGGAACACAGCAGATTAGTAAAGCACGTTCCTGGGGATGTGTGGGAGGGTTAGGGCCCCTGGCCCTGGTTTCTAGCCTGTGCTCCCTGGCCACCATGAACTGAGCCGCTCTATTCCGCCACACATTCTGCCAAGGCATTTCTGTCTTGAAGTCAGATGACCACAGACTGAATGCTCTGAATTGTGAGCCAAATTAACGTCTCCATCTTTAAGCTGAGTGCTGCGTATGGCATCTCCGCAACAGGAAGCTAATATATCCAGCAACCCGCGTTTCTACACTCTTTCTAACTCAAGTACCATGCTGCGGTTTCAGCCGCTTGTCAGCAGAATCACATCATGCTAACTGACCATTCATCCAAAAAATACTTTCCATAACAATGTAGTAGAGAGTCAGACTTTCAGTAATTTACTCCTGCCTTTAACATCTGTATACCACAGGTGGAAAAGGACACAGTACTCTATAAATTGTACTGCTTCTCTTTTGCCTTCTCTTCTCTTCTCTTCTCTTCTCTTCTCTTCTCTTCTCTTCTCTTCTCTTCTCTTCTCTTCCCTTCTCTTCTCTTTCTTCTCTTTCTTCTCTCCTTCCCTTCCCTTCCCTTCCCTTCCCTTCTCTTCTCTTCTTTCTCTTCTCTATTCTCTTCTTGCCTCTCCTCCCCCTCCCTCCCTCTCTCTCTTCTTCCTTCCTTCTTCTTTTTCTCTTTCTCTCTTTCTTTCTTTCCTTCCTTCTTTCTTCTTTTCTTTCCTCCTTTTTCTTTTACAAACACCTTAAGGTAATATGACTCCATCATGTTAGTAAAGACTGAGTAAGGAGGGCGTCACTCTTTCCCACCCAGCCATGCTCAGGTCAGGCCTCCTTCTTGGCAAATACCTGCAAGTAAGGTTCAGTGTATTTGTACCTATTCAGCCACCTCAAAAAAGGCCTCTTCCAATCTGCCTTTATTCACACCACAGCACAACAGAACTTCACACACACACACACACACACACACAATTAAAATGTTGTTTCTCTAAATGTTGAGGATAATCTATACAGAAAAATATGTTAGCCATAGACTGAGGAAGCAAATCACATGGACATTTGAAAATCACCAGGCAAAACTGCGTACGTACTGATGCCCTTTCCTCTGCACTCACAGAGCACAGAGCATTTGGCTTTAATGGTCCGTGGTCCTCTTATTTTTAAGAAAGACATATCTGCCACATTGTTTTTTTTTTAAATTTCAAAACAAAATATGTACAAAATCATTCAGGTTTTAAGAGTCATAAGGAAACATTTGTATGTTTATGAGCTGGTGGAAGTTACTTATTTCTGTTTAAATTTGTGTATATTAAACATCTGAATTTCTCTTAGGACTTCTTAACTGCATCAACATGGAATGTAACAGTTGCAGACAGAAGAGAAAATTAAGAAAAAGATGTAAGTGAAGATTTTTTTCCCTAAAACATAATGAGATATATTTATATTATATCTATACTCAACGAAATCAGGTTTAAGGTTTTGTACATTTTGTCATGTTATAATCCTTTACAGGTAAGTGAGACAGGATTTTTTTTTTTTTTTTTTTTTTTTTTTTTGGTTTTTCTCCAGTACCGGGAACCAAACTCACGACCTTGCGCTTGCCAGGCAGGCGCTTTTGCCGCTGAGCTAAATTCCCAGCCCCTGAGACAGGATTAATTTGGTTATTAAAGAGTAATAACAGTAAGAAGGTAGTGGCCAGAAAGAGATACGAGAATGAGAGAGAAAAACATGCTGGAATTGAAAGGCGGAAGAAATGTACCAAAGCCGTTCCTGGCAATACAGCCCTTGCTCTCATGTGCAGGTACCTGGCCCCACAATGACATTCTCTGCCTAGTGTTTCAACGGTGGAGGTCCATGCAGACCTTCAATCTCCTGGTCCAGTCCTTTCACACGAGGTTGATACTCGTTAAACTTTCCCACTTGCAGTTTCAAGATCACTAAGAGTCAGAACTTATATTACATATTTGTTTTTATTGAAATAAAACAGATATTTCAGAAGTTTACGAATGAAAGCCAACATGTGAAAGTGTTTTTGAGTTGAGAAACTATATGGAAACTCTCAGGGCAAGGAGATTTTCTTTTGATGAGTGTTGCACAAAAGCTTTTATTGCTGTTGTTGAATATGAAGTAGCTCATTCTTGGAAGAACATCACGTTGTTGATTCAAAGTTAAATATAACACAACGATAGGAATTAACAGTGGCTGTTACATTACATGTTGTTATCCTCAACCAAGTTGCTCAGATTTCCAGATGTAAGAATGGAAAATTGATCAGACCATTAAAAAGAATTAAAACTAATAATTAAAAAAGTCAGAGAAGATACAGATTTTCACTAGACTAGATGGTAGAAATTCACCAATGGTTATTATATTGCATATTGTTGTGGGTGTTTTGCTATTGTTCTTTTTTTTTGTTATTCTCTTTAAAATAAAAAAGTTAAATATAAAAAGAATTTTACAAAGAGAAAGTTTGTAGTCAAATAGTTCTTGAATTGATACTTACATTGTGCTTTGTGAGGTTTGAAATATTAGTTGCTATTGCTTGTAGCCAGTCAGCAGAGTCTTCAGCGGAGAGGCAGTGAATAATCCCAGTGCAGACTCCATCCACGGCAATGACTTGGAAAGCATTCTGCCTGCAGATACATCAGAGCACATCAGATCAAACTGTCATGTCACTTCTCTGTTGGCAACTCAAAAGAGATAATAGGGGGGTAGAATTTTGGGCCAGGAAAAAGGGGTTTGGAGATAAAGATGGAGGGGAGGGGAGGGGAGAAGGAAGTAAACACGATCAAGATACGATATGTGTCGTACATGCCCCAGTTCTCCATGATAAATGCACTTACTACCCACTGCAGACATATCTTAACAAAAAGGGGGAAATGTCATTGTATCAGTGAGATACTGTTCTTTCAAATAATTATTATCAAATTCAAATTTTATTATTTCCCCGTATAAATATTCATCTTTAAATGAAATGAGAAAAATAAATATATCATATTTTCAAATTAGGAAGTGGCACCCTTAGATTCCAAGAAATATGAACAAACTCTAAGATGTAAAACAAGTAGAATGTAAACAGCAGAAAATCTAAGAAATTTAGAAGCATTCTTTTCCTAGTTTGCTGTGAAATAATATGTATTTAATATATTATTTTGGTTACCAACATCTCCTCTTGAGAGTTGTCTGTATACTTTCTGACTTACACTGGAAAAGACCTTACACATGGACAAAGACTAGATGTAACATGACTTCCCTGGTCTGCAGCTCTCTGCCAGGTCTTTGCACTTTCAATCTTTTTTAAAAAAAGAAAAATAAAATAATAACAAAATAACAGCAAAGACAAAAACAAAACAACACAAAAACCGTAAAAACGATATGGGATTTCAAAACAAGATGATAGGAATTAACAATGGTTGTTCATATTCATCTTGTTATCTTCAATGAAATTGCTCAGATTTCCAGATGTAAGAGTGCAAGATTGATCAAACAAAGAGAATAAAAAGTAATCAAAACACATTCGATCTAATGCACAGTCAGTCTTGGTGTATTCATATTCTCATATATGTGTTGGGACAGAAGATCCATATCTCCTTTTTGGTAATTATGTCCTTAATTTTTTGTGAATGCTGAGAATTTAATAACATCGCATTTTTTCTTAAAATGCAATCGTCAGTGTAACTACACAGGTTTCCATGGATTTTTGTTGTTATTTTTAGAGAAAAGTAAATAATACCATCTAAAATTATATACAAAAATACTATAGAATTTAAAGTCTGTCCCTGAAGCTACAATGATTTTCTCTTTTTCTCTACATTCAATTCTTGCAATCCTTACACATAAGCTTAGTGGACAGGAGTAGATAAAATCCCAGGATGAGTGGAAGCTAGCCAAATGCATTAGCCTTGAGAATTACCCCGTTGTGCAACACAATACATCTTAGAAAATACACAAACTAGATTTAAGTCTCAGTCAATTGTGAAAGCAACAGAAAACTTTAGTGATTCAAAGTGCTATACAGGTTGCATAAAGTTATATTTGCTCCAAATAAATATCTTTTCTGAGTTTTGCAACTGGGTATTTATTAATATTAAATATTATTCACTACAAAAATTAAAAAGCCCATGGAGCATGTGCATGACTCAGGCTCACAGTTAGACCTCTCAGATGCTCCCTTTTCTTTAGACTGGCTGCTGCCTCAGAACCAAACACATGGTGAAGCTGCAGGCATCAAAAACACTCTGCATTCAAATTACTAATATTTTTAGAGGAATTGGTTTTCTTATCCGAGGCTGAGCATTATCAACTGAAATGAGGGGTATGCCCATATGATGTAGACCACTATGAAGCAGACCTGAGCAGGACTTAATCAGTTGGCTTTCCAAGTTCACTTGTGAATCTGTCCAAGACCTAGACTCCTTATCTGGAAATGGTGGACCCATAGTAAGTGAACCTCTGTGAGTCACTAATCCCTATTAGAACCTGTAATAGTGGATGAAGCCAGAAAGCCTCAAAGGATAAGACAAGATCACAACCAAGGACACCTGGATCAGATATCAGCTAGATAAAGACTATAACCTCAAGCATCACATTCTTGAGTGGATTAACTTAATACCTTACTTAGAGAAGTCCTTGAGTGGTTCTGCCCTTCTTGAGTACTCCCCTCCCATCTTCTGATAACCAAATAGATATGGGCAACCCAGAGAAGGTCTTGGTCTTAACCCTGAGAGAATCTTGAATTGTGTGAGAGGGTTTTGATCCTCCTGGAGCCCTGAAATCATGCCATTTGCCTCTTGTTATTTAGCCTTCACTGTACATGCATCCAGGAGATTGCAGACCCGATCAGCCTGCAATAACTAAGGGATATTACTAATCTTATATTCATGTATACACTTTTTGTTTTTTTTCATAAAAATGCATGAAATGCCTTTAGGAAATACAAATATTTCACATAAAGTTTCCCATAAAGTTCTTTTGAAATGAAACAGAAAAATTTGCATAGCACAAAAAGAACATTAAATGCTCACCAGTACATTTATAACCTTAATTCTACTTTTCAACAGTGAACGAGACATTTTAAATAACTTGACAGAAGATTGACCATCCATGGAAAATGAGAACTAATTTCAATTGAGTAATATATGTTTCTTTCTGCTTCTTGGTTATTATAAGCATGGCTCCATGTACTATAAATTAAAGCATGCCTTGAACATATTTGTCCTCTATTCCTTAAATGAATCCTGGCCCCTAGATACTTTTAGCTGATTAAAGTCAATACACTCAGATAAAATTTGCAATGTATAAAACTCTATGCATTATGTAGTCTATAAGTAGATTGTTTCTGGGGGACTAATCTTCTATAAACTTATTCCTATATGTTAACACAATACAGTTTTTATGTTCTGTATCAACTTTTCAAAGTTGATGAAAACTCTTTTTTCAAAGAACTAAACAGCTTTCTATTATATCACCTCTAAAAGATAAGCTGATCAGAAGATTACAATTATCTGGGTTATATTTCTGTCTTTACTACTAAACAGAAGAGAGTGTTGATAAATTATTCACTCAATCATGCCTCAGTTTCTCCAAGTGAAAAATGAAAATCTACACTTTACAGATTTAATAAGTATTTGCTAAGTAATTGTGGGATCCAAATGCTTTCACAGTGATTGAATCTCTATGATTGCCTTTGTCTGAATGACCTATCAACATATGGTTAAGATTGCAATGTCACTGTCTGGTGATGATGTCATCACATGCATTTGTCATTTCACAAAACAGAAGAACTGCAGTACTTTTGCTTTTATCTGTAGCTTTTAGAAAAATTTACTTCTTTGACTCAAAGTAAACCAAAATAGTCTCTCTCATTTGCTTCATCTTATTCAATAGTGTATTTTCTGAAATCAGATGTATCCCATAACTCATTTAGTCTTGGGAGATGTTAAAATTTAACAATGGTGATAGTATTACTGAGTGTAACCAGACACAATTTTTAGTTTAATATACTAGATTGAAATAATAAAACAGATAGTCTGTGAGTTCAGATTGTCTTTTTCACTTTCTAGTTAATAACTTATATAGTATTTTAAGGATTCTTGATAATTCCTCTGGCAATACAACTATTCTCAAATATTACTGAATTTCAAAGTTGTTGTATTTATTTTTAAAAATTTGGTCATCTTTATATAAAAATACAGTGCTTCTCATAAGAATTCCTAAATACTTTTTATCTAATACACATATATGTATACATATATATATGTGCACACACACATAAATACACTTAGATTTCTACTTAGTACAATAAATAATCTATGTTTTCATTCAGTGCTGATTTTATACCACATGAAGGCATGATATGGGAAGATTCTAAGTTTATGAGCTGTAAACAGGAGAAGGCAAAAATGAACTTTGCGCTTGAGGACCAAGAGTTTTAGAGACTAGAATACACAGGTTTGGAGTGGCTGGACTGGTGTACTCTTCAGCAGAAATCTGGGGAGATCAGTACGGAAGCACCAGCTCAGGGTGCAGACAGCTTCTTATGTTTTACAGGGAGAGTAAAGTTCACGGGGAGCCAGAGCTGGATTGTGCATGGGGCAAAACCATAGCTAGATAAACATGGAAGGGTCCTCCAGTTACACCAGCAGGGCGAGAACTGTAATTGGTAAAATACGAGATGATATGGAACTGAAATAAAAACAAGTTTTAGTGAAAATGAAATAATCAGTTTATGTGATTTTTAAAGGCATTAAAAAGAATTTGATTCAATGATTACATTTTAAATGGATCTTGAGGGAGGCAGGTAGAACCAAAATTGTTCTGGGGCTTTGGGCCTAAGCAGTGGAACAGCTGAGTTGCAGGAACGGAAAGTATACATTTTAGACAGAAGATAATTAATCCCAAGAACGAGATTCAGAGGCCTGAAAAGCACGGCACACTGTAAGAAGTGCAGGTTGCTTACGCACATTTCAGTGTGCTTATGATGATGGCAATAAAGCAAGGCCTAGTCAGCACGAGCTTCGCAAACCCTGCTACCACCTTCCTACTGTACCTGGAAGGTCAGAGAGAGGCAACGGCCACATTTAAGCATTAGAATGGGATGAACGTGTGTGTATTTTGGAAGGATGTCTCTGTGGAGCTAAAGAAAATAGGGAAAGAAAGAGAACAAAGGCTGAAGCAGCTGTGAGAGGATATTACTGCGATGTACAAGACAAAAATGATAAACTGTCTCTTAGCTCTGTGCATGTCGAAAGGAACACTTAAAATACCCCATTTACCTGATTTGATTATTAGTTAATAGGAACACGATGTTGAAGGAAAGCAAGAAATATAAAAGACACTTGGTTATGATTTTAGCAGTGTATCGTCTCTTCCTCACTGAGCTCAGTCCATGTGAAGGTGGTCCACCGTCTTTTCCACCACGTCTACGATACAGTGGTTCACTACCTCATCGGTTTTTATTTCAGGGTAAAAAATAAACCCATTCAGTGAAGCCTGTAAGGATTCCTTCCAAACCAATTTATTGCTTCTCTTCCAAATCTAAAACTCACCAATCTTTTTTTTTTATGACTGGAAACCACGTAGGTCGGCGATGGCGAACCTTTTAGAGCTTCAATGATAACAAACAGCCAACTGT